GGAAAGAGGAGAAGGAGGGAAGGGGCAGCTCAGACCTATCATCCACCCTTGAGCCTTCCAACAGGCATGACAATCATCTCCAAATACAGCTGTGGGCAGCTACAGGCACCTGCCTGCTGGAACTGGGCTAACCCTGCTCCTTTGGCTCAGCATCTCATGGAGTTTCCAGGAGTAATTAGCAGAGCCTGACACATACAAATCTGTGTTTGTGCTGAGCTCTGCTGAAAGTTTACCTATGACTATCACAACAGGAAGCATGATACTTGGAAAACCCAGCCCCACTTCTGAATTCTCACTCTGAGTCTCTGGTTCACTTAGAAGTTACCCTGTTTGTGGCTAAACTGCCAAGATTCTTGTTCACAAAGCTCTACTAGAACCATGAAATCTCTGCTTTGAAACGTTTCCTAGATTTAGCTGAAAAAATTAGGTGACAAACTCTGAAATGGTTACAGAAAAACTCTATTAGGTCCTTAAAACCATCCACTGAAGCTGTGAGCAGCATGGGGCAAACTTGTCAGCCCTTCTCATCTTACTGGCACATTGTTAACAAGAGTTGGCTGGTCTGGTTTGTACACAGCAAGGACATTCTAGGAGGTTTTCACTAAAAGGTACAGCTCGAGCCAGGCGCCACACACCTCTCCTCAAAGCACAGCGCGTTGAAAGCATTGCTATGCTCCCACAACACTGCCCAGCTGGAACAGATCCAGCTCCAGAAACCAGCACAAATCCAAGACCACCTTCAAGCAGAACTCTTCTTTTGAGGTGCAGATGCCCCCACAGGACAGCAGCTGCCAGACAGGCACTTACCCACAGCTCCACACATCTATGGCTGGTGTGTAACGCTCCTCCCCTAGCAGCAGTTCTGGAGGTCGATACCACAAGGTAATGACTTTGTTTGTGTACGGGCGGCTGCAACGCAAGGCACAAACACCCACTGAGCCACAAACCCTTCCAACTGGCACTGTTATTCCCAACTGCAGAGCTGGGTGTGTGAGCAGAAGCAGGGAGGAGGGGTTCAGGTGTCTAGACTACCAGAGTTAAACAGAACTGGTACCACAGATTGTACAGATCTGTGTGCACAGGACAGGAAATTGTAGGTACCCAGGACTGCAAACCCCCGAGCAGCAGGGCAGACACTTCAGAACTGTGACTGAGCTCAACTGATCTCGGAGCAAAATGTGCTCCATGGCAGGTCCACAGCAAGCAGATAAGACATTTTGATTCCTTACCAGCTGGTTTGTTTAGTGAAAGGCTACAAATACCAGCCAGGAGCATGTATCTTTTCCAACTGCTTGAGCTGTGTGATCCTACTTATACTGGAAGTAATTTCTCCAGCAATGGCAGGACTTCCAAGTGAAGGGATGATGTGGACACTAGGAGAAGTGCTCATGCCCCCCACCCAAGTCACTTCCCCTCCCTCCACACCTCTGTGCCTCACCTCTCCTCTGAGCTGTAGAGTCGGGCGAGTCCAAAATCTGCAAGTTTGATTTGTCCACTGAAAGACACACACAAAAAAGCCAGTCATTGCTTTGAATCACAGCTGGGCTCAGGTGCAGCAGGCAGTACAAGGTGGGAAATCCTCACACAGAGTAGAAAGGCCTGACAAAGCAATGCTGGCAGTAATTACTTTTGGCAGTCTTAATTTTTCAAACTCTATTTAATGCTTCAAAGAAACATGGCAAAAAAACCCCAACAACCCTGAAACAAAGTGATTCAGTCTCATTTCTATCACAAACCCTTCCCAACATGCTAGTGTCCCAGGGAAATGTTTTAGATGACTATCCATACATGTGGATGCAATTATGAGCTGTATTATTCTCACAGGCTCCAAGTTTTTCTTATAGGTATCCAGATAAAGCTTGAGAATTAACAGCAAATGAATAATTGTTCTGCATTGAGTGGTGAGCCAGGTTACTGCCAAGCATTGCTGTCGAGGGAAGAGGGAGCATTCACGGGGAACTGCTGCTTCCCACCTTAACCCACAACAGTTTCTCTGCACACAAGGTCTTCCAATAAACAGTGCTCTTGCCAAAATGCCATGGAGACCAAGTGTACACAGAGACCCGTTCACAACATGAAAGGAAGTGAACTGTAAGAAGCTGCAGAAGAGGGAGCAGATGCTGCTGCTGACTGCAAGTGGAGCAGGTTGGTAGTAGAGCTGTTCACCCCTGCACCAGGAGCTCTCAACAGCACCAGGAAAGCCACTGCTTAATTAGAACCACTCCCCACCCCACTGGTGGAAACAGGCAGTGGATCAACACTTCCTGTTCCTAAGCACAACCAAGGTGAAGACAACTGTGTGCTCTCAGCTGAACCCAGGGAGAGAGCAGGGAAGAGCTTGGACAGAAGTGTCTGCTCCCAGGTTACCTGTTGTTCAATAAGATGTTGGAGCACTTAATATCTCGGTGAAGGAAATTCTTTTTGTGACAGTAATCCAGACCTTCCATTAACTGTTTCATGAAAGACTTGATATGGTCCTCTGAGAAATGTACCAAGCCAGATTCTAGCAGCCCCATTAGGTCATGGTCCATGTACTCAAACACAAGGTAAAAGGCACCTGGTGTAATAAAGAGAGAAATTATTATGACAGGAGAGAAGAGACAAAGAAAAAGGAGGAATCAAAGTAGATTTAGTTGCTGAAATATTCTTCTTCCTGCACAGCTGAGTCTGTCTTGTGATATTTATGGCTTACTGGGCATTCTAGGTTATTATTTTCCTCAAAGGGCAAAAATAAACAAACCAAAACAACTAAGCAGCCCCTCAAATGCATCAAGCTGAAGATCTGAAAAAAAATATGGGCCCTTCTTCCCAAGTGACAGCAGGCAGGAAACTTTTCACACTCTCAGTAAGTCTGTTGCCACTGCTCAGTGTTAAAAAACCCACCTTTGCAGAGTCACTTTTAAAGACTGTTCTTTTGTGACTCTAGAGGAACGCAAAGGACCCTTTGAAGGCAGTGTCTACCTCTGCAGTGACAGCTCATTCTAACCAGAATCTTCCCTTTGCTGGGAGGCCAAACAGAGCTGCCAGACTTGCTGGAACTGTGTGCCAGGGAGCGCAGAAGAGAAATTCTAGACCAGAGTTTAGAATTTTAGTTTGACGCTAAGAACAAATGAAGGGAGTTGCACCACCCCGATGGCTAATGGAAACCACACCCTGCAGCAAATAGTACCTTTGTCCTTCTTGAAATCCAGTGCATCTTGTTTGTCTGTGACGATCTCCTTCATGTTGACCACGCTGCGGTGGATCAGCTGCCGCAGGATCTTGATCTCACGGATGGCGGTGATGGGGAAACCTTCCTTCTCATTGTCCAGTCGCACCTTCTTGAGAGCCACCAGCTCCCCTGCCAGAACAAGCCAGTGTCAGAGCCTCTGCAGACATTGCTGCCAGCAGCTCTGTGGGTTTCCAGGGAGAAGCTGAAAGCAGCCATGAGCACAGGCAACGTCTACCAAGAAAGAGCAGAGCCAGCTCCAGCTGCCATCTTTTTGTTACATTGCTCTGTCAGGAGTTACTAGGCCAAGAACTCAAGAGAGTTGAACTCAGTGCTCCTCCTCATCTGCCTCAGAGGGAAGTCACACAGAGGAACATAAATTTACCCTGGAAACCACTCTGGTCCTTTCACAGGCTTTGCTACAATCAAGTTTGACAAAGGCACATCTGAAAGCAGGGGTCCATCTGGCACCTCTGGCTGTGGCACACGCAGGGCACACCAAGCAGAGAGGACAGTTGGGCACTATCTCACAGTGAGCAGGATTTCTTTTGCCCCTTTTGAAAACACCTGCTGTAAATGTACATTCCAGGGCTGGAGCCACTTCAGCTCTGTGTGTATTGGTGATTAACCAGCACCACCAGCACTAACGCTGGAATGAGATTTGAGGCATTACTACCATGGGATTGCTTAAAGAAGTGGAGTCAATCTGAAGCCCCTGGGCACTCTTACCTGTATCTTTGTCCTTGGCTTTGTACACCTGCCCATACGTCCCTTCTCCAATAATCCCAATGATGTCAAACTTGTCCACGCAGCGCTTCCCCCAGTCGCTTTCCGTCTGTCTCCTCTCCCCATACCGAGGACAGCAGATTCTGCAAGGGGGCAGAGCCTGGTCAGACCCTGAACAAAGCCTAGCTAAAGATTTTTAGGTAAGCGCAGGTTCAGTGTTCTCCCCATCGAATAAATGGGGAGCTGGCAAAGCAGCTGCCAGTTTCCATTTCAAGAATGACTGTGCTTCCAACCTCCATGCAGGACATGCAGTCAACTCTCAGGGTGTGGGGCTTTGGGAACACAGGACTGATCTTGGTGTGAGGAAAGAGAAAATTCTGGCTGCTCAAAAAAGCCAGGAAAAAAAAAAAAAGAAAAAAAAAAAAAGAAGAAGAAAGGGAGCCTTACTTTGGTCTCTTTTTGAACGGTTGCTGAGGTGGTGTGACTGCCTTTGGTTCTGGGGAGTCAGGAGGAGATGGGTCCCCTCCAGGGAGCTCTGGAGGGAGCGGGAGGTCCGTGAGTAAGTGTCGTGGTCTCTGCTCTCTATCTTTCTTCACAGGTTTTGGAGGAAGAATCTCTTTTGGACTAAACTCCGAAAAGTTAATACAATACAAGAGTCAGACTTAACAACCAAACAGCAAACAAACAAACAAACAAGAGCCTACTGCAGAAGAACAGTTCTCTATTTGAGAATGTAAAGTTAGGAGCCCCAATCAAAGTGCCAAAATTAGCACAGCCAAGTCTAAAACCAAACAGCCTTCAAATTTACAATAACACACCAGGAGAGAAAAGTGTTATGTTTGAATGCACTGTCTTCAAATAAACACACAACTCTTGCAGCTAAAACTTGTTCAATTTGCACAAAAAAAAGTTTTTCCTGAGTTTCCTGTAAGACAGTTCAGGTTCCCAGCCAGCACCCACTTTCTGACTCTTAACTTCTTCTATTTAGTCCATTTATTATAATTAAATTAATTGCATGGCTTGTTAAGAACGACTACAAATATAAACCCAGAATTAAATCTTTCCATAGAAGTAAGTTTGAGCTTCTTGGCAAGGACTGAAATGTAGCTTTAACTTGTGAGAACTGCTGAGAAACTAAAAGCTGACCTTTTCAAACAAAATCAAATCACCAAGGGCACCAGAAGTTTGGTTGAGACCGGCAAGAACCTAATTTCTCTCTTGTATATTGCAGGGAGAATTCCTAGGTCTGGATAGCCAGGAATTTTTCTCCACGCAAATCTCCACTTCACCAGAAGAAAAGAGACAGGAACAACCTTCCAGGGTTGTTTTTTAGGGCAGCCAGCAGGAGGGTTGCTGTTTGTCAGCACCAGTAGGTCCAACGCACAGAGAACCCTGCAGAAACGAACTAGGTCACTTTCCCAGTTTTTTATTAGACACTGCCTAACCTGCACCAAATCTCCTGTGAAATACAGTGAAGAAACAAAACAAAGGATCCTATTGTGGCCCTGAGCTCTGACATCCTCTGTAAGAGCTGGGGGAGCAATCTCATCCCACTGTTGAGAAGTCATCAGGCAGCTGCAGAACTAACAGCTTGTCTCACCAGCCTGGACTTTGGGAGGACAGCACTATCCTGGAAATCCCAAAAGTGGGAGAGCTGCACAGGCTGGAGCTCTCCCCCATTCACTGCAAGTCCTTCAGTGCAGGGGTACACCCAGCCAGGTCACTTCAGCATGGAAGAACTCATGTGAAGCCTCAGAGGAGGTTCCTCAAAGCAGGATCTGGATGGCCAGATCAGTCCTTCCTTCCCAGCTTCCACGTGTGCCTGAAGCATTGATCCCATGTCCAGCTTTAACAAAAAAGCAGCTGTTTATCTGACTGGGCTTAATCCACTTCTAATTGGCAATTCATTTGCTCCTGATAGTGCTGAAATATTTAGCAGCACATGCTAAGATCAGACTCTGTCAAAAAATATTCAGCCTCCTTCCAGACATGCATCCCAAGGCAACTTCTTTGCAAGATTTCCTGGGAAGGGCAAAGGTGTGTCTGTAGGTTTAACCTACAGGTTAACCTGCAGGTGCCCAACCTCCCAGGAGGTCCTTTCTCTCCTCTTCCCAAGGAGTTACCATTTTCTAGCTGACACATTATCTGTGCTTAGTTACCTACAGCTCAGTTCATCTCTTTGCTCTCAGCACTGGTGCTTCTGTAACTTTAACTACTCCAGAACATCTGCACGTTTCACCAGGCACTTCTTTGGAAGTGAAGAGGCCAAACAGACCCTTCAGAGCTGCCCAACCAGAAAAATGACAAAGTGAGAACACCAACTGCCTAAGAAAGACTCCTAGAAGCTCCATCCCTTTTTCCCCTCCCCAAAAAT